ATAACAAAAAAATGCATTGAGTCCTTATCCAACCTCAACATGCACTACAAGTGATGGTATCCAATGACTCTAACATATATACATGAAACTCCAAAGAGTGTAAAAGACCATCATGGTAATATTATGGTACACTATTATATATGATAGTCAGGTAATCAAAAGTTTAATGTGGTAACATCTAACTCTGCTCACTGGTCTGGTTTTAATTCATGTACTTGGCACTTTTTTACTATGCTAATCAAAAAGTAATAATTCCTATTTTTGATAAACCTCTGTGGTCTGGCAAATTATTCAGTGTGCAAAATAAGACATTTTGAAAAGCTGTTTTTGTCCAGTATATTATTGTAATTTTTAGTGGGTTCCAAAACAATATAACACAGGTTCTGGAGTGGCATCAGGGCAAATGATAACAGAAGTTGAATTTTTAGGTGTACTGTCTCTTTTAGAATGAATTTTTGAATGTATAAATGATCTCTATAGTAGGATCAAAAATATTGCTGCAATATCACAATATATAGACATACAATGGTAAAACCATGATACTTTTTTAAGTAAATATTGAAAGAAGGATCTTCCGTTCACCTTCAGAACACAAATTAAGATATTTTTGAGGATATCAAAAGAGCTTTCTGACCCAGCAACCCAACTGACATGTTCAAGGCCCAGAAAGGTACTAAGGACATCATTAAAATAGTCCATGTGACATCAGTGGCTCCATCGTAATTTTATGAAGCTATGAGAATACTTTTTGTACGCAAAGATGAACAAAGGTTTTATGAGTTTGGAACACCATGATGGTGTGTGTAGTTGATGACAGAATTTGAATTTTTGGGTGAACTATCCCTTTAATAAAGACAGCCTCATCCGCTGTTTTTGCGGCTTTCAGCTGAACAGAATGTAGCCCCTGAACTCACACCCAGCTTGTATCTCAGTCTGACCCATTTGTGCATGAACCACAGTCATGACCCAATGGCTCTGCCAAGGAGTGTCAGAAACCGCACACACATATGACCCATGAGGCCAACTGAGTATTACCAAACAGGAAATACACTCATCAGTTATGGCTAAATATACAGTGAGTGTCTGTCCACCCACAGGTCCAGTGGGTTATTGTAGAGCTCTCACACTGACTTAATGCTCCGTCTATTGATTCTGTTCTCACCCAGAGCCACATTATCATTATCCTTCACCACTGTTAAGACATTAACCTGTCTGGTGTATCATTACAAGAGGCCTCAATGATAATATGCTAGTTTTTATACCATAAAAGAAAGAACATTGCTATGAATATAATGACTGTCTGTGGTTTCTAATTACAGTCATTTTGCTAGAATCAGTCAGTCTCACCAATAAAACAAGTGACTATTAAAGTCGTCACTGGAACATTTATCTTTTACATGGGGCAACAGCTGATTAGGATGAGCATGAGGGATTTAGCGCCCCCTATAGGAAGAGTCTAACAGAAAAAAAACAAGGGAGCCAAGAAACAAAACTAGGAAAAATCTTCACCATCCCTTCCTCTTTGTATTTCCCCTTTGAAAAAAAGAGATGGCTAATAAAATATTTATCATGCCAGGCAACAGTTTGTGTCAAGATGAATACATCTCTGACATTAAAAGCTCAGGAGGTGGAATAGAGAGATGAAACGAGAAAAGAGAGAGTGAAGTATATATGAATTCATTGATGATGCTGAAGCAGTGGGGGTGAGAGAGGTGTTGGGAGGAATATAAGAAATCAATGTAAAGACAGGGAGAAAAGGAAACGAGGGAGAGGCAGAGGAACGCGTGAACTTTAATCATTTAAAGAGGTTAGGAGAAGGTTAAGAGAGTGTGTTCAAAGATTAAATACATTAAATGAAGAGTCTGAGACACAGGAGAACGAGTAGGGGGAAGCCAGAGGTGTAGTAGATTTCCACTGAACACAAAATAAACAACCTCAATTTGACTTTAAAACATAGCAAGTAAGAAGCAGTGCATTATAAAAATATATGTTTGAGCCAACCTTCCAGGTTTGACTTTGAATCCTGATTGGATGACACATGTTCAGAGCAACTGTGATCTCATACTTTATATTAATGCGAAAAGCTGCTATGTAGCTTGGTTACCACAAGCTGCATACATTTAGGACAGGGGTGTCCAGTCCTGGTCCTGGAGAGCCAAAGACCTGCTGAGTTTTACTTGTCCAAACTATGTGGAAGATTCAGGTAATTCTGAAGACCTTGATTATGTTGGTTCAGGTGTGTTCATTTGGGGTTGAAGCTAAACTGTACAAAATAGTGGCCCTCCAGGAGCTGAACTAGACACCCCTAATTTAGGAAAACTAATTATATTACTTGGAGGTTTCAATTTAGATATTCCGCTAAGTATAAGTAACTGTACCAGTTATTAGATTATTAGTAGATAATTAGAAGATGCTAAACATCTGCTAACTTTATTTTGATGGCCCCCCAACAGACATTCTACTGACTATAAGCAACTTTGCAAGTACATGTCAGCTTATTATTAACACCAGCAGTCTACTAAAATTCTAATGTAGATGCAAAATTACTTATAGTGAGTAGAATTTTTTAAGAGGGCTATTGAAATAAAGTGTAACAATTATGAATAACAAATTTGAATAAATAAATACATATATTTATAGTATCTTGGTATATTTTCCATATTTATATTATCTTCTAAAAGCAATAAGCCATGGCCTTGCATTAATTTTTGCTTTATGAAACACCATGTCTTCTAGAACTTTCAGGAATGGTGCCATCATTGTATGTACATTGTAAATTACACAACATGAAACCTTTACATCCTGCCTGCAATAAACAATTTTTTTTTTACAAATGAAAAAAAAAAAGAAGAGAAGTAACACTAGATTAACAGCCTCACAACCACATTAAATGTCTTTCAAATGTTACCGTTTAGAACATTAACTTTGCAGCCCTAAAATGCTAAAAGAAAACGAAAAACAACAAACTGACACTCTAGAAAAATTCAAATTAAACTAAAACTAACAATATCAGAGGGAAAACTAACAAAAATTAAACTAAACTTAAACTGAAAATAATAAAATGTAAATAAAAATGTAAAATAAAAAATGTAGGTAACACTTTAGTATAGGGACCAATTCTCACGATTAACTAGTTGCTTATTAGCATGCCTATTATTAACATATTGGCTGTTTATTAGTACTTATAAAGCACATTATTCTGCATGACCATATTCTAAATCCCTAATCCTACCCAATACCTAAATTTAACAACTACTTTACTAACTATTAAAAAGCAGCAAATTTCAAAGTTAATGGTTTGTTAATAATGAGAAGTGGACCTTTACTTAACTTTACTTTTACTTTTAGTCATTTAGCAGACGCTTTTATCCAAAGCGACTTACAAATAAGAAAAAGTAATTAAAATTAAAAGCTAAAACTCTATAAATACTTTATATATATATATATATACACATTTAAGAAAATTAAATAAATAAAATAAAAATGACAAATGTTCAAAACTAAAACATTTAAATGAAAACAAAAAAATAAAGCTAAAAACAATTCAAAAATATGAAAAGAACAAAAGGTATGAGTATAATAATGATTCTAACATAACACCAAAGAACAACTACATGTGTGTATGTACAGCCACACACATATACATATATAAATACATTAAATATATATATATATATATTATTTCATTTCCATTTTGTATGTTGAAGTACTGAAATAACTCAAAATAAATATATGTTTGAGCCAACCTTCCAGGTTTGACTTTGAATCCTGATTGGATGACACATGTTCAGAGCAACTGTGATCTCATACTTTATATTAATGCGAAAAGCTGCTATGTAGCTTGGTTACCACAAGCTGCATACATTTAGGACAGGGGTGTCCAGTCCTGGTCCTGGAGAGCCAAAGACCTGCTGAGTTTTACTTGTCCAAACTATGTGGAAGATTCAGGTAATTCTGAAGACCTTGATTATGTTGGTTCAGGTGTGTTCATTTGGGGTTGAAGCTAAACTGTACAAAATAGTGGCCCTCCAGGAGCTGAACTAGACACCCCTAATTTAGGAAAACTAATTATATTACTTGGAGGTTTCAATTTAGATATTCCGCTAAGTATAAGTAACTGTACCAGTTATTAGATTATTAGTAGATAATTAGAAGATGCTAAACATCTGCTAACTTTATTTTGATGGCCCCCCAACAGACATTCTACTGACTATAAGCAACTTTGCAAGTACATGTCAGCTTATTATTAACACCAGCAGTCTACTAAAATTCTAATGTAGATGCAAAATTACTTATAGTGAGTAGAATTTTTTAAGAGGGCTATTGAAATAAAGTGTAACAATTATGAATAACAAATTTGAATAAATAAATACATATATTTATAGTATCTTGGTATATTTTCCATATTTATATTATCTTCTAAAAGCAATAAGCCATGGCCTTGCATTAATTTTTGCTTTATGAAACACCATGTCTTCTAGAACTTTCAGGAATGGTGCCATCATTGTATGTACATTGTAAATTACACAACATGAAACCTTTACATCCTGCCTGCAATAAACAATTTTTTTTTTACAAATGAAAAAAAAAAAAAAGAGAAGGAAAACTAGATTAACAGGGTGCCATCATTGTATGTACATTGTAAATTACACAACATGAAACCTTTACATCCTGCCTGCAATAAACAATTTTTTTTTTACAAATGAAAAAAAAAAAGAAGAGAAGTAACACTAGATTAACAGCCTCACAACCACATTAAATGTCTTTCAAATGTTACCGTTTAGCACATTAACTTTGCAGCCCTAAAATGCTAAAAGAAAACGAAAAACAACAAACTGACACTCTAGAAAAATTCAAATTAAACTAAAACTAACAATATCAGAGGGAAAACTAACAAAAATTAAACTAAACTTAAACTGAAAATAATAAAATGTAAATAAAAATGTAAAATAAAAAATGTAGGTAACACTTTAGTATAGGGACCAATTCTCACGATTAACTAGTTGCTTATTAGCATGCCTATTATTAACATATTGGCTGTTTATTAGTACTTATAAAGCACATTATTCTGCATGACCATATTCTAAATCCCTAATCCTACCCAATACCTAAATTTAACAACTACTTTACTAACTATTAAAAAGCAGCAAATTTCAAAGTTAATGGTTTGTTAATAATGAGAAGTGGACCTTTACTTAACTTTACTTTTACTTTTAGTCATTTAGCAGACGCTTTTATCCAAAGCGACTTACAAATAAGAAAAAGTAATTAAAATTAAAAGCTAAAACTCTATAAATACTTATATATATATATATATATATATATACACACACACACACACAGCCGCAACCGCTTCCGCGGTAAACTAAGCTCTTTTTTTATTCATTTAACAAAACTCAAATTGAATTCAGCTGGACACACTTTCCTGTTTATCAAAACAAATGGCCAAGCAAAGCGCACGACACTGACAAGGTATGCGATACAGATAAAATAAGGACATTAAAAATAAAGTGTGACAAAAATTTTATACTTTAAAAATGCTAACTTCAAAACTGATCATGGTAATGTGTTTCAATATTGATAAAAATGTGCATGACTGAAGGCCACATAGACAAATCTATGTTTAGGATCACTGGAGCTGTCCATGGTGCTGAATCATTTGACAAGTAAACCACTAGCAAACAAACACCCTCCTCCCACAGAGATGTGTGTGTGTGTGTGAAGGAGAGGGAGGGAATCACAGAGTAAACATCATTGCACACTGACAATCAGCTCTGTCTCTTGCTGTCTTCATAACATCACCAACATGGCAGATATCAGTGAAGTGAAACTGAAGACCCCAAGGACACAGGGGCAGGTGACACAGCTAAAGGCATCAAACCTTGTGAGTGACAGGCCCTCGGTATAAACTCGTGCCACCTAAAAGCCCTACATCTGAGCCCTGAGCAACACACGATCGCTGCTGCGAGTGAGTCGAGGAAACAAAAGTTCAGCACCCAGCGGGAGACTATTCCAGCTCTGTCTACGGATGCGCTCTCATGCATGCCGTGCTATCTATGCCTACAGCCCTGGCTACACATCCGCCACTGACACTAACACGCTCTAACACACTCAAGAATTGCAGCCTGTCACAATGGGCCATTAACCTCCTATAGGGGAATCCCAAAGACAGAGCGAGGCTGAGCAAGAGGCAGGCCATCACCAGGCTAAGCTAACAGGCTTCCCTCACCGAATGCTGTCTCAGGGGGGATCTCTGAGGCACTGCATTTGGCAAGGGGAGATGGCGCTGCTGGACACAGGGGGCCAATACTGTGAAAATGTGTTTGAAGTGCCTGGAGGCTCTTTTCTGAAGAGCTGTAGAGCAGACCCAATACAGTTTGCAAGTGACAAAGGGTCTGCGGCAAGGTGGATGCGTTGTTGTTCACAAATATGAAAAATGTCTTGCATATAACTGGTTGGGTTAAAAACATAACCCTGGTAAAGATCTCTAAAAAAGTATTGTTTTCTGACGAAATTTAACATGAAATCTAAATGGACACTATTTACTTTTATCGTTTAGTTGTATTGCTTCTTTTTAAGAAATTAATAGTTTATATGCATTTATAATATTACAAAAAAATGACATTTCATATAAATACTATTCTTTGGAACCTTATATTAATAAAAGAATCCTGGAAAAATATTGTGCTTTTGCACAACTGCAGGTCTGTCCTGCCATATAATATTCATAAATATGCAACACTACAGAAGTAAAATGGGTTGTGAATGCTGTTTCATGTTGACTTTAAAGGGATATTTCTGTCATCATTTACTCACACAAGTTGTTCCAAACCGGTATGAATTTATTTCGGCTGTTGAAGACAAAAGAAGATATTTTGAAGAATGTTGGTAACCAAACACTTGGCTACTGACTAATACTATGAAAGTCAATGGCTACCGTCTACTGTTTGGTCACCAACATTCTTCAAAATATCTTCTTTTGTGTTCAGCAGAAAAAAGAAACTCGTACAGGTTTGGAACAAGTGAAAGGTGAGTAAATGATGACAGAATTTTTGGGTGAACTATCCCTTTAAGTAGAAGGGGAGAGGAACAGGACAGCTGAGGTTTTAGGAAAGTGAGGACCTGATATGGGCGTAATTTATGATATCTGAAATTCTGATGACAACCTCCAGTAGAGCCTGGCAGGACATTTGTCTCTGGTTGAAAAGAGAAATGAAGACCATCTCTGTAAGATAGAACAGCTGACAGAACACATTATACCGCACTATTGTTACAGATGCACAATTTCAGCCAACACTGTGTACTACACGTCTGCCAAACGGTCAAACATGAAAACTCCCAACAATGCCTCCAATGCATGCTGTCACATATTTGTAAAAGAAAAATGCAAGAGGAGTGGACAAAGCCATTCAGCCAGTCCTAAAATTCCAAAAAATATCAGTGTAGTTTGTGAAGGAAATTACAAGCTCCCTGCCACATGTTGAATCGAAATGAAAAGTATCAGTAAAAGTATTAGTAAAAAGCATAGCAGTCCAAACTGCAAATATTATGCATCAAAGATTTAATTGCTCTCTAATGACATACACAGGCAGTCTTAGCAATATCTCCCAACAGAGATCCAAGAGGTCCGCTGCATTTTCCCCACCTGTCCAAATGAGCTCTAATGAGGCCAGTGAGATATCAAACCCAGCATGGAACCAAACACATTCCCATGTTTGCTGTTCCAGTTTCACACTTAGGAGAAAAACAGCAGATCAACAAATCAATACTGCCTTCAACACACTACATTTTGGTACCAATTATGTTTCGGAGGCACTTGGAGGGTGTTATTACAGCTGACGTTTTGCTATGGCAAAGCTCGGTAATGTAGTTTGTGGGGTGTGAATAGATGTGAGGAATATAATGTTACGTAAGACACTGAGAGGATGGCAGAAAGGCTTTTGTTATTATGTTGGCTGGCTTTGATCCAGTCAGTCAGGCCTCCCTGATTTTGCCACCTGTTTGAGTGCAGATCTGTCTGAGGTAGGTTAATTAGACGGGCTGGAGCAGCCTCAAGCCGACAGACAGAAAACACACACACATACAGTACACACACATGAAGGCAAAAGTTACTGTCAGGTTCATCCACTCACAAAAACAAACCCACAAATGTACCACACACAGTAAACAGGCCCAGCAGCACCTGTTTGTTTGCTCTGGCACTGCAAGACTAATTTGAGATGCTCACTGTATTTGCATCTGTCTAAGCAGCAGCAGCAGCAGCCGTCTGGCTCTATATCACAGCGTAAGGCGGCGCTGAGAGTTGAGTCATCCTCTAAATCCGAGGATACATCCAAGTATTCTTTTGCCCTTCTGCATAAGTTGTGTGCGACTGTCACTGAGCCCGATGTCCTTGGTCACAGCAGGACCATGGCATCTTGGCACTCGGCTGGGACACACTAATTCAAAGACATCCGAACGCACAAATGTTTTTCTTGCTTATGCTTCCTTTCAAAATAACATTCACAAGGTCAATCAGAGTCAAAACCAGAATGCACAAATGGATTTGCATATATACAAATGTGTATACTGTGCATTATACATAAAGATTCACACATATGGAATGAGACCTTGATAGGGATGGGTGCAGAGAGAAGAAGAAGAAGAAACACGAGTAAGCACATGACCCAGATAGCAAGATGTCAGTAATTTAGTGTTGAATCAAAACGGATTTCAAAATTAAATATTCTGACTGAACTAAAACTGAGCTGAATTGTGGCCTCTGTATGCACACGGATAAACCAATATTGAATAGGTAATTTCATACATTTCTTAATATAATATCAGCAGCATTACAGCTTTTTTTAATGTGAAAAACAGTCAGTTTAGACATTCATGGCCATTTCATACTCTTTCTTAAGAGTCATGTCTATTTTTTTCCCTGCGTTCTGCTCCTTCTTATCAACAGCTGAATTTTTAAATCTATCAAAGTACACTGTACATCGTTTCCACAAAAATATTAAGCCGTTTTCAACATGCTTCTTGAGCAACAAATCATCATATTAGAATGCTTTCTGAAGCATCATGTGACTCATTAAAACTGGAATAATGGCTGCTGAAAATTTAGCTTTGCATCACAGGAATAAATTAGCCTACATTATGATACATATAATATATTTCATTAGAAAACAGTTAGTGTAAATTGTAAGAATATTTCAGAATATTCAGAAGTTTTTTTTATCTAATAACTGCAGCCATGTAGTGCTGTGTTCGATACGACGATGTATCGTCACAGAGATTTGACGATACGAGTAACGATACAGGGACATTTTATTGCATCATATTGTGGCACATGTGCAGCAGTGGACCGTGCTTGATTTAAATACAAGAACAACGTTTAAAATGGAGTAGAAAAGTGTGAGGTTTCTAAAAAATTATGAATAGCGCATAATATATAGGCAAGGCTACAACAAGGTTTAATCTGGCCGCAGAGGAACACAACTGGGTTGCCTGATATAAAGAGACATAATCCCCGAAACAGAGCTTTCCACTTGCGCGATACGGAAATATCTGCTAAGTGTGTTACTTATCTTTGTCAACCTGGCAACCATGTGCACGCGCTCTCTCTCCACTGTGGATAAACGCGCTTGCTTTCTGAAAACACTGGTAAGCTTGCAGTTTCTCCACTTCAAGTCTATTCTCAGAAATGTGTAATTCATCAAGTGTTCATTTATGAGAGCGAGAGAGAGAGGCTGTGTATGTATGAATTACCACCGTTTTGCCGCGTTTCTCTATTACCAGTGAATTTGTGGCTTTAATTCCTGTAGAAACAATGATGTTACCAGCTCCTTGTTGAGAAAGATAATGTAGCTCTTGAGCAATTAAGCTATTTAGTTGATAAAACTGCGGGGCAGCGCTAAAAAGTTTGTTCCTGAATGTCTGAGTGCGGCCGCAACGTGATCTGTGTGAGTGACAGCGTGTGTGTGCGTTAGATACAGAAGACAGCGCATTAGTTTAGAACTCTTCGAATTTTTATTTTTTAAACATAGAGAGTTCGGTAATTTGTGCAATGATAACCTACCAGCAATGTAAATATGATTTTTTAATATTAGAATAAGTACATTACAATATAAATTTATTAGAACGAGTACATTATTATTTATGGGCTTAAAAACAAGATGCAAACAATCAGAATATTGTACCTGGTGGGGAGTGCCCAATGTAAATATAAAACATATGCCATTACCTATAGGCTATTGTACTGTGGTACAGTTATGGAGGCCCTTCATAATGCAGAGGTCAACTGCCTGCTCTGCCAATAGTTAGAAATGGCACTATAGTGTAAAGTGTTTAATAAACAGCTGTTTTACTCAATTCTGCTGAGGTGAAATTCAGTGCAGTCCTGTATCGTGATATGTATCGTATCGTGGCCTCTGTATCGTGATACGTTTAGTATTGTGACATTGCTGGTGATACACAGCCCTAGCAGCCAGGGTGCAATACATAAATAAATTCATTAAAAAAATAAAAGAGTTAATTTCTTCACTGAATGCACTATTTACTCTGAAAATATGTGGTTTCAGCTTTAGTGTTAGTTAGTGCAATTAAAATTGTGTTTTCCAGCTAATTTTCAGTAAATTATTTCTTAAAACTACATTATTCAATAACATTTAAGCAATACAGATTATGCAAATGAAATTAATATTACTGTGTTTAGAACGTAATTGAAAAAGAGGTGGTATTGATTCAATCAATATTGATTTAACGTTGAGGATGTGAAACTAAGCACTCAACCCAGCTGAGAGCAGGAATGTAGTCATGTAACAGAGAGATACGAAGCTCTCAGAGATTTAGCTTGAGAGAGAGAGAGAGAGAGAATACACAAAAAAAGAAACAGGTGCAGCTGGTGGGAAACAAGAGACAGGGGAAGGAAGAAAGACATTAAGAAAGCCATCTCTCAAAGACAGCAAGGATCCAAAGCACAAGGAGGTTCAGAGACACGTACAGTGAGATAATGTGTGCCGGCACTGTGTTCAGTCAGAACCGAGCCTGAAGTTATAGCAACAGAGCAGAGGAAAACAGAAACCCTTGGACAGACGGAACAGATCAGAACATCACTGATGCTCCTCTCCTCTCAAGCTCCGTTCCTTTGATCTTGATGTCCAAAGAAAACATCTCAATGCTGTAGAAATATCACGCTCAACTGGGATTATGACTAAAACCCAAGAGATTCAGCTCAAATTTAGATTAAAACAACATCAGACCAGTTCTTACTGGAATATTCCTCACATTTTCAACAGGAGATAATGTTCTTCAGGTCCAATTAATGCAACGCAAGACAGTCTTCTCTTGTGTTGGCTATGAGGCATTTCTCATTAACAGTATATGCTCAGTGAGGAGTGCCGCTCAGTGTACTATAACAACTAACATACACTCTCTCTTAACACTCCATCAAACCCCATCTGACACATCTTTAAATTTTGAAAAGTTACAGACAGTCCCAGAGCCCCATACAGAGAGACTGGAGAAGTTAAGAGATATGAGAGCAGTCATTCTCCATGAGATGAGCGCTGGTGATCCATCACAAATACTGTCATCTTGTGCTCACGTTACATTTACTCATCATCCAAACCCGTATGACTTTCTTTACTCCATGGAACTCAGAGAGAGACATTTTGCAGAATGTTGATGCTGCTTTTCCTTTACACAACCAAAATATATGGTGATCACTGTTGTCAAGCTCCACAAATGCCAATAAAAAGTACCATAAGGGTATTTTGAAAGTAGTCCATACACCGTAAATAAATAAATAAATATATTATAATTTGAAAAACAAAAGACTTTCTTTCTCGTGTTTTCTTATTAGTTAGGTAAATCTGAGTTTTATGTTGCTGATAAATGAATGTCTATTGCATTATTTTCATGTCATGTATGTTATCATGATTGTGTTCTGTATTTGTGTCATTACTTGTTAGGTATATTAATATTATATCAGTTAATGAAATAAAAAAGTTTTACTTTAAGTTTAAGTTCAATCCATAAAACCTAAAATGTTGCTATCCGAAATTTACAGTAACGTTCTGGCAACCACAGCTTCTGTTTTTTTTTGTTTTTACTGTAATAATTATTCTTTTTATTAATTTTTTTTTACAGTGTATGACTCATCCACTATACTATATAGGTCTGTCATATTGTATCAGTATACCTGGAATACAGTGCACTTGTGGTATGAACATTTATGACACTTTTTTGGGGGTGTGAACTATCCCTTTAAAATCAAAAATGTGCTCCGGACAAGCAGACAGCTGTATGGATACCTCATAATGAGCTTTGATTATATTGCCTGTGGTACTGCCTCTGTCCTTAATGAGGATGACAAACACCAGCCAACTATTTACTTGACCATGGGTTGAACATCTCCCAACACTCATCTCCACTCACACACACACAGCCCAGCAATCAGGTCATTAAAACACTCAGAAGATGCCAGCAAAGGACACAGGCAGACACACAAAGGCTCTCAACCGCTGTTTTGCTGTACAAACAACAGCCAATTAGGCAAAGACGCAGATGAGTAGAGTGGATAGAGAGAGAAGAGATGAAACAATGATGGAGGGAGAAGAAAAAGACATGACTGAGAAATGAGTCACACTGGGAATATTGCACTAGTGGTCAAGTCCCAACTAACTATTAGTCTGAGCCTCAGATGACACATGAGAATACATGGTTTATGTATACTGCACAAAAAATATCAAAAGCTTTTTAAATTTTTGATGTATTTTTTTTTTATAATGTTTTTCAAAAACGTCTATTATGCTCACCATTTAAATTCCATTTATGTTCGCTGTTTTCTATTTAAATATATTTTAAGATTTAATTTATTCCTGTGATGCCAAAGCTGCATTGATTTTCATCATCATTACTCCAGTCTTCAGGGTCACATGATCCTTCAGAAATCATTCTAATATGCTGATTTACTGCTCAAGAAACATTTCTTCTTATCACGGTTGAAAACAGTTTGCAAAAATATTTTTCAGGATTCTTTGATGAATAGAAAATTCAACAGAACCGCATTTATTTAAAACTTTTTTTATAACAATGTTTTAAAGTTCTGATAACCTTAATGCAATTCATTGCTGACTAAAAACATTAATTTCCTTATAAAGCAAGACCATACTAATCTTAGACTTAAAATAAATGGTAGTGTATATAGCCAAGTTATATTATATATTATTATTTATTTATTCTTCATTACATTAATTATTAATTTAAAAAACATTAAATTAAATTCTAATTATTTGTAACAAAATGTCTTATATTACACTTTAATCATCTATACAGAATAAGTCATTAGAGTAACTGATTATATATTAATTTAAAGGTTAGAACATCATTAATCTCAGCACAACTAAACAATTAACTTTTTTAATTAATCAGTAAACTTTTTCAGCTGAAATCAAATCCTAGGAACCCCTGCTCTCTGGGTTTAAAAGCAGACACAAACATAGACTACTACACACACATTGACGCACTCAGTGCATGCCCTCTGAGGGCACAGGTGTGTATGTGTGTGTGTGAGGTGTGAGAGGTGTGTACAGTGACAGATGGAGAGGGGCTGGTGGGGACAGACCACAGGAGCAGGATGGACTGAGCAGCTCGGCTGACTCAAACAGCAGAGACGCTGTGGGGCACGGAGCTTTTCCCTCACACCTACAGGACGCCAAAGCGCTCTCAGCCAATCAGAGAGCAGGTGAGAGGGGGGAGGGACAGGAGACAAGGTGGAAATATATTAGGGGCTACATGGCAACAGCCTCATAACAGATCCCCTCTCAACGTGAGACAGAGAGAGTGAGAATGAGAGCCAGGCAAGAAAATAGAAATGAGAGAGGGAAAGAAAAAAGAAAGCAAGAGGAAACCAAAGAAAGAGGTTGTGAGAGAGAGGTGCGTCTGAGGAAGAGGACTAGGTCATGGCAGTGCTGAATGCTTGAGGATCTCTCTGATCACCATGTGGCTCTGAATTATTCACCCCGCAGGTTAAAAGAGTAAGCGTCCATTTGCTGTGGACTCCATCTTCACATTCAGTGACAGCTGTAACGTACCACGGAGAGAGAAATTGTGTTGAAAATAGAACAGCAAAAGTGCAAAACGAACAGGAAAAGTGTGAAAAAGAATTAAACGTGCTAGACACGCACAGGGAAAGAGAAGAAGCAGGAGGGAAAGAATCCAGGATGAAGTAGGTTCATCAATTAAAACTGCATGAACTCCTGACCAGTGGCGGCTCGTCGGGGGAGGCAGCGGAGGCACAGCCTCCCCATAATTATGAGGTGAAAATGGGAGGAGGATGATTTAATGTTAATAAAATTCACAATTCATTTTAGTTCATGTCTCAGAATGTGTATTTTTTGTTTGTAATTTCACAGTTGTAATACCATAACGTGAAAGCGCCCCTTTTCTATCGCGAATGTGCCGAATCTGCTGATGTAATTGCAACCGCTAATGATAGAGAAGGGGAGGGGGAGGCTGGGGGAGCACGGAGCTCTTGTGCCTCCGTTGGTAAAAAAAAATTAGCCAATCAGCATCGAGTGTTCACTTTCAGCGCTGAGGAGTGTTGAGAAAAGAAACCTCGCAAGGGAGGCTAGCCTCCCTTCTCATATCAACCAATCATCACAGAGACGCAAATTACATGATATTAGTTTGAACGTCTCCTGCTGCACTGATAATGTACCAAGTACTTATGAGTAGCGATACTGAATATTTGATCGCCAACAGATTTACCAAACTGTCATTCAAACAGTATATATACAAATTTAGGGAAACCAGCCTAAACTGGATATAAGCTACAGCAGTCGGCTTAATTAAATGATGCAACAGGCAGCTCTCTTTTAACACAGACTTTTAAGAAGGGTTGGATGTTTGCTTCAAGTGATAGTCCAGGTAAGTGCAATTATATTATTTTGCTGTATGTATGTCGTTTTCTTTATGTTTTCTGACTAAAAGCAACCAAAAAGCCATTTTAAAGTAGTTAAGCAAATAATAATAATCGGCAGGGATCCCAGACCAATACAATTAGTGTGCCACCTCTATTTTAAAACCCACGAGCCGCCACTGCTCCTGACCTTCCTTTGACTTCTCACCATGTAGCAGTACATGAATGTGAGAGACCAGAGGGCCGCTGGGGAACCAACCCAACACATTCAAACACATCTGGAGATGTTCAAGGAATAGTGAACCCTCATATCATTCCATAAAATGAATGCAGGCAAGCTGTCAAAAAATCTCACCCTCTGTGGTACCTTTCAAATCTTATTTGTGCTTCAGCATATTATGATTGGACTGGGGGTCGACCGATTATCAGCCTGGCAGATTATCCACACAGATATTAAGCATTTTTATGGTTATCGTTCATTTTCAAAACCGTTTTGCCAATAATTTTTTTTTAAAGCATTTAAAGAAAGTTTTTGTCAGAGCCCTTGTTATTCTTAATTTTGACATACATTTTCATTTTTACACCAGACATACATATCGGTACAAAATATCGGTTATCGGTCTACTTGATCAATAATAATTGGTATTGGCATCGGCCCTGAAAACCACATATCGGTCGACCCCTAGATTGGACAAACCTGAAGCAGTGAGTAAGATTTTCAGTGAATAACAACTTCAACTTCTATCTGTTTCTGCACACAAAGTTATTAGAATACAAGGAAATAACACAAATAAAGTGAAACTGAAAATGAAATGGAAAAGTGACAGTGAGATTAAATTTAGATGTGCTCATGTTATTTCTTTTTACAAGTTTTTACAATGTTGCACATTATAACCAATCACATGTGATTCTTTTCAATTTATGAACGCAACAGTCAATCAGAGGCCAGAGTTTTGATCAGTGCTTGCTGACTGAATTCTGCACTCTCGTGAATTCTCTCATCATAAACAACAAAGTTCAGATGTACATATGCTACAAGTGTAGACAGCTTAATTGAATATAACGGGAGATTTCTTCCTTTTTTTTGAGAGTGCTTAAATTTGCGCTAGACTGAAATAATAATGTAGATATTGTTCTTTGATCATGTAAATGTTCTTTGCTTGCTTTCTCTATATAATTTATTCACTTAGTTACTAATTGGTAACTAACAATGTTTTTATGAAATTACAATTAATATTTCATGACATGACACCAATATCTGTTATTCACATAAAAAGACAGCTTTATTATGTGTAGCGTATTTCTGATTTCTTAACAGCCCAAGTACAAACAACATATGCTAAAAACAGCAAGCACCACAAAACACCACTTTCACTATGACTTTTTTTCCTTTCTAACTTAAAAAATGGGAAGAGAAGAAAAATAAATGAATTGGTCAAAATGGCACAGTGGTACACCGCACATGATTTAAGCTGACCTACAGAGCAAACACATTAGCTTGACAGTGAAAATAGTGTGCGTGTATGACTGAAGATTCCAACCATGTGTTCAGCATGAGTAAACAGTTATATGGCTGGACTTACTCAATTATTAATACAAGAAAATTTCCTCAGCTGGCCAGAGCAGGGGATCCGATGCACAGCAGTTCACCCTTGACTCTGACAGCAACTATCCCTCACTGACATCTGCCTACACGCTTCAACCAAGAGGCCCTCATTCCTCTTAAAATGTCATAGCGTGTAGACTGACAGCCTTGTGTTTCACAGACTGATACATGCTTTCAAAGTTCAGAGCCTTACTTCCTCATTAATGCTTGTCAACAAGATTAACCGTGACAGACTATAACAGGAATGACCCAAAGGACAATGCTGCCTCACTGCTATGCGCTGTGAATCTGTTTCTAAATTGATGCAGACCTATATTGCTGCAAAAAACTGTGCGATACATATAGTGGAGTCTAAATGAATTTAATGAATTTCAGAATGTTTTTGTATTTCATTTTTCTCTCTTTTTCTTTAATGAAAGCAGCACACCAGCTGCATGAACTCAACCAGTATGTGTTAAACTTGATGATCATGTTCTCCAGAATTTAACGAAGAACATCTGACTGTCTGTATAAAAACTTCACTAATTTGACTGTCGCAAACTTGACTTAAAAATAGCTCATAGAGTAGTTTACTCAAAAATGAAAATCTGCTGAAAATGTACTCTTCCTCAGGCTATCCAAAATGTTATCCAAGTGTTTGTTTCTTCATTAGAACAGATTTGGAGAAATTTAGCATTACATCATTTGCTCACCAATGGATCCTCTGCAGTGAATGGGTGCCGTCAGAATGAGAGTCCAAACAGCTGTTAAAAACATCACAAAAATCCACAAGTAATCCACACCACTCCATTAGTGTAAATCTGTGAAACAAATCCATCATTAAGACCATCTTTAACTTTAAAGCGCTGCTTCTGGCAGTAGCCCCTCACTACAGAACAAAGATCCAGGGGGCGGGGTTGGATCCACATCTAGGGGGTGGAGATGGGTAGGTTTAGGGGTGGAGATGGGTGGGTTTAGGGATCAGGGGGTGGAGAGGGGTAGGTTTAGGTATATGTAAGGTGGGAGGAGTTGGATCTGGATCCAACCTCGCCCCCTGGATCTTGTGTTATGCAGTGAGGACCATCTCGCTTCTGGGCCAAAATAGTCTATAATAACATAATAACACTTCATAACACACAATCTCCTGTTGTCCTCTCACATCAAAATCCTTTTGTTTAGAAGTGTTTTGGACTGTTAGAGTTAGGGTTAAGGGCTTGATCTGTGTGTATTTCTCTCCTGGTTCAGAGAAGATAAGTTTTTCACTGAAAAAAAACAAAACAATGTTATGAATAATGGCTCATATTTTTTTTGCCAGAAAAACCAGTATGAATTAACAGTATTAATGATGGATTGTTTAATTGGAAACATGCAACTTTTGACTTGACAAAACATTAACTGATGGGCTGGAGTGGTGTGGAATATTGTAATGTTTTTATCAGCTGTCTGGATTCTCATTCTGATGGTACCCATTCACTGTAGAGGATCCACTTGTGAGCAAGTGATGTAATGCTAAATTTTGTAATTTCTCCAAATCTGTTCCGATGAAGAAACAAACTCATCTTGGATGGCCTGAGGGTTTATTTTTAGTAAATGTTCATTTTTGGGTGAACTTTTCTTTTAAATATTTCTTGTTCATTTTGTCACTACCCTTAAATTTTTTTCCCTAAAATGTTCTATTTATTTCCGTGTTTAAATTAGAATCTCCATCCCAGATTTTCAACGAGGCCACTGACTTTTAGACCGCACTGAATGTATTTCCTAATGCCCTTTTTCTTTTTATTAGAAGAAATGCCCTGTCTCACTCCTGCCTATCTGATTGTTTTGAGAGAAGAATGAATTATAAATGAATGGGTGCTCAATCTGGGCAAAATCAATACTAACAAGGTCCAAGTTAACTGTGCACGGTGCTTTCCCTCAGTCTGCCATCCCGCCACACCGCACACACACACACACACACACACAGTCTACAGAGACATCTCACCCTCTTTGCATGCAAACTATCAGCAGGCTGGGCAGCAACCGAGCCCTTTCAGCAGATAATGAGGATTGCTTTTCAACCGATGCGGCTTTTCTCTGCAATAACATTCACGCTCGTAAATGAATGGAGAGAGCATTAAATGCCTCCTCCTCCACTCCTCCAGCGATCCATCTATCAGCATGGGTGGCCAGCGCTGTCATTCAGACAGAGGGGTGGGAGGGGAGAGCGATTGAGCATGGCAGAACCTCCTTCATCATGCCACTTAGCCTCCCAGGGATCTATGCTGCCGAGACGGGGGATTGAGGAGAATCTGGCCAAGTCCCTCTGTTCTCTTTCCCCACCCAAACATTTCTCCTCACATCAGCCCATCCAAGCAGAAAGACCCTCACTTACCCTCCTGTTCCAGCTGCCCCAATCTCCAAGGCATCCCATCCCCACTTCACAAGCTCCTGCTGGGCTGACATATCCTCACAACATGTTCCCATCTTGAATTATTCACCTACACTGCTAGGGTTCACAAACCCTGCCATAGATGAACAGGAACAACCATTGTTTTAAAGCTGAAGGGTTTCTGCCGAAGGGTTTCATTTCTTGTGCCACAAGTACTATGAAGTTGTACTGAAAAAAAAAACACGTTTTTAAGGGGCAAGGTTTGACTGGTTAGCATGGCCCCGTTTGCTTCTGCTGATAGATGCAGCAACATCAAAAAACGATTTTCTCTATTGACAGCCACTCAAAATTAGCATGTATTGTGATGGAATACTTTTTTTTCAAGCAACACATATTGCTAATATTTTATTATATAACAGCAGAACAGTAGATGTGATTTTTTTCTGTGCCTG